TTTTCTTATGATAAGAAAATTGCGATTATCAACATCATTTTCATTGAGAAACATTGAAAAGCATTTTTTTTTTTTTTTTTTTTTGATTGATAAAAAATAAAAATTGATAATTAAAATATTTTGTTTTTGTAAAGATTTTGTAAATTTTTTTTTCTGGGAAGAAAAATGAACAAAAATTTATTATATAAATTACAAATCGATATATAAAATGGATTTTGTTTTGTTTTGTTTGAATTTTCTTTGTTTTTTTTTGTTTTTATAATTTTTTGTTAATGAATTTTTTTTTTCCTGTAAAAATATTTACCTTGCTGTTTTTTTTTTCGTTATTTTTTAATCCAAAAAACATTTAACAATCATTTTTGATTGTTGATTTTCTTTCAAAATGGTTGTCCCGGGAGATTTTATTTTATTTTTTTCGTTAATCAAAAATACTTTTTCTTTTTAATTAAATTTCAAAAAAAAAAATATTGACATTATTTACTTATTTCTGGATTTTTGTTCATTTTGCATTTCAATTCATTTGAATGAAATACAAAATTTGTAATATTTGAAATTTTGAATACAAATTAAAAAAAAAACACCTAACGAATGATAAAAATGAATATAATTTTCAAAAATTTTATTAAAATTATTGAAAAAATTCATAAGAAAATTTCCGAAACAATATGGTTATTACCATATTATCGTAATCAAATTCGTCAATATTATAATGATCAATCGATAATTGATACTGATGATCATCATGATGATCATCAAAAAATAATCATTGTTCATCGAACATTTTGGCATAATTGGTTTCCATCAATATTAGCATTATTTACTGGTATAACATGGGGTTATTATATTCGCTATCCAGATTGGTGTAATCGATATCAATTCTGGTTGGTTATAAAATTTTATCCACCTGAATCAGAAATCTATACAGCTGCTATGGTTGTTGTTTGGTCTGGTGTTATAATATCAACAGCATTATATGGTTTAGGTCAAAATTATCTTCAAGAATTTATCTATCTTTCAATATTGGATATGAATGAACAAAATCGAAAATATTTTGGCAAGTTTCCTTTTCTGAGTGAATTTTTTTTTGAATTATCGTTTCTTTACCCCAATAGGTTTTAATCAAAATGAAATGATTGAATTAAAACAATATCAAAATCGATTATTATCAATGTTAGCATCATTCATATATATTTGTACAATATTTGCATCAACCGGTCAATATTTTCAATTAATCGAACGAAATTTATTGAATGATAATAATAATATCCTTGTATTTGTATGGTTTTTTGGTTTTCAGCTATGGGGTCTGTATACAAGTTCAACAATGCATTTTACACCCGGTATATTAATGATTGTACATCGTTTTATTGAAATCAAACAAAAACAATTACAAAATCGTATGAAAACGGTAACAAATAATATTTATTCATTACAAGAT